TCCCCTGAATTTTGACAAGAAAAATTTAAGGAATTTTAATACTACGAAAGTTTGCACACTACGGTAGAAATGTTCAATAAAAATTACTCTGTCAATTGGTTGTCTGTCACGAATCAAGCACTATTATATCCAGTATAAAACTTTTAATAGTTGTGGTGTTTGCCATCTGGCTAAGCAAACGAGATTCCCATTTCCTAATAGTTCTTCTCTTGTTGATCAATCTTTTGATTTAATTGATATTTGGGCCTTCTTCTTCTTCTTTTTTTTTTTAGATGGACATAGATAGACTTGGATCTATCTGGTGAAAAACGAAGCTGAAACTTGTGTTCACTTAATCAATTTTGTTGCCTCTTTACAAAAGAGTTTTTCAAAACCATCAAGACTACAAGATCTTACAACGGACCTGAATTTAATATGATAAATTATTTTAATAGTGAAGGAATTACACAACAAACCAGCTGGGTTGAAACACTTGAGCAAAATAGAATAGTTGAAACATCATATTTTAAATTTTACTCGTGCTTTGATTTTTCAAGCTAACCACCTAATTTTATAGTTTTATAANTTGTTGTTGGTCCCTTTCTGCTCCCGTCGATGCCATCTAGCATAATCACAGCACTTTCCCCTATCCTAAGTAAATTTACTCCAATTTATTATTAATTATATATTTTATTTTTTATCAGCTTTTTTTTCTTATAAAATCTAAGATTATCTTGATGGTATTATCCTATATTGTTGTGAGAATAATTGAATAATTTTTCATTTGCAGGAAAAGAGGAGCATTATTCGATCATAAGACATGGTCAATTCGTGCACGTAGAAGATATTTGTCTTGCTCACATATTTCTATTTGAAGAGCCGAAAGCTGAAGGAAGATACATATGCAATGCATGTGACGTTACTATTCATGACATTGCGAAATTAATCAACAAAAAGTACCCCGAGTACAAGGTTCCCACTAGGTCAGTCTCTCACCAAATTTAAATATCATGTTCTCACCTAATATCTCTAAGTTTAAATATTTTTTTCTTCTTTCATCATTCAAATGTGTTTTAAGAGAGACTAGTACAGTAACACAGTTCATTTCACAGACAGTATAATATAGATGGTATTTTCATTTATTTTTACGTTAAAAACATTGAGGGGCTAACTGCATACATCGATTTTTTAGGTTTGAGAAGATTCCAGATGAATTAGAGCCGGTGAGATTATCTTCGAAGAAAATCAGAGACTTGGGATTCGAATTCAAATACAGCTTGGAGGATATGTATACTGAAGCAATTGATGCATGCAGAGAAGAAGGGTTTCTTCCTAAAACTGCTGAAACACCAGTGAATGGCATGGTGAATAAGAAACAAATAAATAAATAGGTTTTCTTATTTTTCGGATTCTCCAATGATTCTTCTGTTGTGAATGGTAGTCAGAATTGTAAGGTGAAGTTGTCTTCAGATAAGTTATGAATAATCTTCTCATGTCTTGTTAATTCCTCACGTAAGATTTTTTTCTTACCTTTATGTAATTAAGGCTATTATAAAATTATAAGTGCTCATTGAATGTCATTATATATCGTCAAACATTTTAAAATTCTGTTCACAATACATCTACATCCCAAAACAACTAGTCTATAACGAGTATAGTATCTTGTGGTTTCTACCTAAAAAGACATTAAAAATTTGTAACACACTATTTTCAAGTTTTAAACCATTTATTTTATTAAAGGAAAGTAATTTAGAATAATTTTCCTGGCTATATTTTATATTAAGAAAAGGTTTAACCTAGATTATTTAGTATTTTCGGGTTGATGGTAAAAAATTAACAACATAATTCATACTGATAAATTAGGTATTGGACTGAATTCACAAGTCATGTGAACTATTTGGATAGATTGAAACGCGTGTTTCTAAATTGAGAATAAAGGAATGAGTTTAAGAATAATAATGAATCGAGTGAGATGAGAGTTTGAGTATTCTTCTGGGGAAATCTTTTGAGAACCATTTGAGATGAATTAGATAATTTCAGACCTTACATGCAGTTTTTGAGGCTATGCAATTTTTTAGGGGACTGAACGATCAATACAACTGTACCAGCAGGACCGGACGCCATACGGAAAGACATCACTGAGCGTCCGTCCAAGGCCCCCAGATAACAATCATAGACCGCGCGTCCAGGTAACAATCATAGACCGCGCGTCCGTTCAAGGCCGCCCCCCAGTCACATGTCCGTGTCGACCACCAGGACCGAACGTCCGCCCGTGCCGAGCGTCAGGACCGAACATCCATGCGTGTCGACCACCTGGACCGAACGTCCGACCGTGCCGAGCGTCAGGACCGAACGTCCGCCCGTGCCGAACGTCAGGACCGAACGTCCACCCATGTCGAGCACCAAGACCGACCCTCCTTCCCAACCCACACGGTTAAAGGGTGTGCTTGGGCCGTTATCAGACCCACTAAAGGTAAAAGGGCCTTTATCAGGCCCATTAATGGTAAAAGCCCATTACGATCAGTATAAATAAAGGTCTCAGGTACCCGGCCCCTCCCCGGCTTGGAGCGTGGAGCAGCGCCTGGAGTAGGAGGACGTCCGCCCGGTTTGGAGCATAAAGCGCTAAGGAGGACGTCCGCCCGGCTTGGAGCAGAAACACACCAGTCCATCGCCAGTACCGTCCGCCTGTTCTGGAGCAGCTCGATCTACGTAAGCCGGGTCCTCACCGATTCAGTCGAAACAACAACAATATAAGGTCCTATGTTCTTCTTATGGACCCATTCCTCCTATTTCTAAATTTTTCTCTTTTGTAACCTAATAGGAATGACAGATTATTGGAAATACCATCCTTGCATTAGTGGATTTGAAAATGTTGCTACCTCTAATAACTATTCTTTTTGCTGTAAATATGGTTATATTGAAGCCAATTGCTACAGGAAAAATGGTCCCCTGAATTTTGACAAGAAAAATTTAAGGAATTTTAATACTACGAAAGTTTGCACACTACGGTAGAAATGTTCAATAAAAATTACTCTGTCAATTGGTTGTCTGTCACGAATCAAGCACTATTATATCCAGTATAAGCAAACGAGATTCCCATTTCCTAATAGTTCTTCTCTTGTTGATCAATCTTTTGATTTAATTGATATTTGGGCCCTTCTTCATTCTTCTTCTTCTTTAGATGGACATAGATATACTTGGATCTGTGAAAAACGAAGCTGAAACTTGTGTTCACTTAATCAATTTTGTTGCCTCTTTACAAAAGAGTTTTTCAAAACCATCAAGACTACAAGATCTTACAACGGACCTGAATTTAATATGATAAATTATTTTAATAGTGAAGGAATTACACAACAAACCAGCTGGGTTGAAACACTTGAGCAAAATAGAATAGTTGAAACATCATATTTTAAATTTTACTCGTGCTTTGATTTTTCAAGCTAACCACCTAATTTTATAGTTTTATAGTTTTATAATTTTTTTAATTTTATATAAAGATCTAGAAAATGACATTTTAAAATTATAGAGATTTAAAATAATGAAACTTGATTATTAATATTAAATGGTTTTAATATAAATAATTTTGTTTTGAATTAATTTCATTGTTTTTAATACATTATCTATATATAGATTACTTTTCTAGAGTTATATGACTTCTATCAATGGTTTTTCCCTCTTTGTTCATTTGATTAAAGAATTAAGACCGTAGAATTGATACTTGCAGCGAATTCTTCAATTTAGACCAATTATATTTTTTTATTCATATTTTTTTATTTGTGTAAGTTAAATTTCAGTCCTTTTTCTTGGTCGTTTATGTTATTTGTTGTATGTGAGCCTTCTTTCACTTGCATTGGTTCTTTTAGTTATCTATATCAGTCTTTGTTGATTTGTAGTTCTAATGGTATGTCTTTATCATGTTTGTTTCATTTCTAGGTGTAGATAAAACATCTATTAAGCTTGAAAGGGGTTTGAATTTCTTTTGAGCAAGTTCCTGTGTCTTTAAGGTAAGAGAAACTAGTTGTTTTAGTGTACGTGAGTTGGTAAATCAGATGTTGTTGGTATGTTATTTGAATTTGATTAGTGTTTATATCTTAATTGAATTGTGTGATTTGAGGATTGAATTGAATTGCTTGTTGTTTCAACGGTTGTGAGTGAGTGAATTGAAGAGTTGAGCAATTGCACAAATTGATATAAGTTTTAATGTATAAAAATTGTGTTGAACCAACTCTTTGAAAAAGGAATACCAATTTGAGCAATTGATCATTTTCAAGTTCACTTAAATCACAAAAATCAGTCTAATGTAAATTAGTATAATGTTGTGCGGTACTGGTTAGGCGTTGAGCGCAAGCTTGGTTATGCAAGTCCGGAAGCATTTTTGTTTCAGACCGCTAAGCTCCCTTTTTCATCGTTAAGTACTTAGTTTTTCAAAAGTTTTGGCATTAAGTGGTAGTAGGGCACCACTGAACGTCATCTTGTACTACAGGTTTTAAACAATTTTAGTTCTAGAAAGCGATAGAAGGATGTAATTGAATGCGACATTTTCGCTGAACGTCATCTTTACTACAGGTTTGAAACAATTTTAGTTCTAGGAAACGATAGAAGGATGCCATTGAATGCGATAGAAGGATGTCACTAAGTGTCACCTTTAAATGCTTTGTTTCTTATTGTTACTTGTTTAGTATGCAAGAAAAACATTTATTATCAACAAATCTTTACCGACAACCTCTGGTCCGTCGATAAGTGTCAATTACCGGCAGATTTTTCGAGGGACGACATAATTGCACTGTTTGTCGGTAATGGTTTAGTGTATTTATTTAGCGGCGGATCTTAGGCCGCTGGTAAGTTCTTCGATGACTTAGGATGAAAAATTGGGTTTTTCCTCTCCCCGTTTCACTTATTCGAGCCTTTGTTCCTCTCTTTGAGCCCTAATTCGTCTCTTGATTCCCAAACCAGTGCATTGCTCTCGAATTTGTTGTCCAAGAAAAAATGTTTCCCCTTTGCTCATCCTAATCAACATTCGTTTGGTTCTTTGGGTGGTGGCGATCAGTTGAGGTGGCGAGCTTAGTAGGCGATGTGAGGAGGACGTTGGTGTCGGCCCAAGAGGCTGGGTGGTGCGTCGTTAACGGTTCATTTTACTGGTGAGGGGTTTTTGTTGAAGCACACATTGGTTGACTGTGGTTGCTGCATTCTGTGCCGCTGTGGTGGTGTCGTGAAGTTGTCATCAAGGGACGGTTTCGAGAACGCCCTATCGTGGAGGTGAGTTCTTTGTTGGGGGAATGAATGTTTTATATAGCTCTGCACATGTGCCTAGTTGGTTGGTTTTCTGAATTAAATGAGGCACACAAACAACTTGTATGTGAAAATTCTTATATGAATGTTGGGTTGAGACTTTTCTGCACCATGCGTGAGTATGATGTTCATGTGTTTTTGTGAGATGATCACACTTCATAGACTTTAATCTATTGTCTGTAGTTGTTATTTGTTGTTATTTGAAAGGCTTTGCATGTGATATTGCTTCTATATCAGTGCCATGATTCTAAAACTATGACATGAACCACGAATGATCATCATATAACAATATATGTATGTATTGATTGTTGTAATTAAGTGACAGTGTGCTTATACATATATATGTAGCACACTATTAATGGACTATTTTGTGTAGAATTGAGTTCAATGCATGCAAATTCATTGATAAAGTGTTCTAATTACTTCAGCCTCGTTGTTCAAGTGGAAAACTAGGATAACTAATTGACAAAGTGATAGTGTTCTAATTTTGAACCATGGGAATGTGATGACTTTTATGGATCATTATACAATAACCTTGTCTTTTTGAAAGCATTGTTTAAGATTGGCTATTGCAGGGATATTGCAACTACTATTGGTTAGACTCTAGGCGTTATAGGGCTTTAAAACTTGGGTATTGTAGGCTGTCAAGTTCTACATTGAGTTGTATGAAATGCTTGGTGAAGTACTCAAGTGGCTGTGTTTTCCCCTTGAAAATTACCTTTTAAGGAAGGTTTTTCCAAATGCTTGGGTGCTTATGACACAAGTTTTGAATTCTGATTGGGCTTAGTAGTGATAACTATATATATGCTCTAATAAAGAAGATTTTATGTAACTTAGCTCGTGGCTCAACTGCTCTTCTTTTGTTTGTATCACTTTTGTTGAACAAAATATTAATCAGTATGTTAGCTTCTGAAAGGGGATAAGCCATGTCAATCAACTTGTAATCTAACTTTTTGTTGAACAAAACTTGTAATCTAACTTGTTAAAATTTAAGAATAAAATGTAGTTTAAAAGATAAAATTGAGTTGGAAGTTGTTGATGGAATAATGGTAGAGTAGATCTAAATGTTGAGTGGTGAAAAATAATTGAAGGTGTTTAGGAGGCGCATGAATAAGAATGGCGTGGCACACATAACATGTGTGATGTTGTTTGATTGAGAAACAACATCATTGATTAACATCATTGCTTGGAGTATTTTTAGCGATTGGAAGTTTGGAAGGCTGAACTAGAGAATTATATTGTCATGTGGAGTTTGGAGTTAGACTAGTAGGATGAGTTAAAAATGCATATTTTTTTAGGAG